TAACTGTCTAATATTCCATAAAATACGTGTGTATTGTAAGTAAAAACACTGTTTTCATTCTTAGAAATGTCAAAATTAGAAATATGATTTTTCAAAAAAATTATATGATGGATTTTTTCATATTTTTTTAGTAATGAGCATCTGAAAAATGATGCAGGATGTCCCAGCGAATTGGTAAACCATTAAATGTTAAGTTATTTTGTACAAAATTTATACATGCGAAACTCTGCATCGCTTAAAAATATGTACAAGTATACAAGTGTTTCAAAAAAAAAGTTACAATCCAAACCTATGTTTGTTTAAATGAAAAAATGCGAAAATGCACATTTTTAAAAAAAATATTACACCAAAACTAAACATTATAAAATAATTAAATTGATTCAGCTGAAAAGAAGTAAGTATGAATTTTAGTACTTTAATATTTTTACAGATAGTTGCAGTCTAGAAATTAAAAAAATGAAGAAGTCTCTTAAAAGTTGAATTCTTACAAATTTTAATTGAAACGCCTTATTTTTTATTTTTGCAATTGCAATTAACAGACTCTTAAGTTATCTTTGTAAAAATATAAACATTTAAGTGTCTCATACTGATTACAAAAAGATATTTAACTTTAAACATTCAAAAAATTACCATTGTTTCCAGTCGAAAAGCGAAGTTTTGTATAAATTTGTTTAAATAATTGATCAATGGTCAATAATGTTTTTTCCAACTCGCTGGAACACTCCGTATAAATTACTATTTACATTGAAAACAACTTTTACATCGCAAGTCTGTGTTATTTTATAGATTTTCGTGTTTCAGTTGTATTGCTTATGTTATTTTTGTATTTTGTGTGTTTTTCCAGTATAGTCTTCCAATCATTAACTGTTTGTGTTGTGTTTCCAGAATGAGGATCCACCACACTGGCAATCCAAAAGACGTCCTGAAAAGCATCTCGCAATCAGACAATACAAACAAGCAATACTTCCTAATGTTAGAAAATATAACGTCCCATTACACGCATCCGTGCATCCTCGACTTGAAGATGGGCACCCGCCAACACGGCGACGACGCCTCGGCCGAAAAACGTTCCAAACAGATGGCGAAATGCGCCGCTAGCACTTCGGCGTCGCTGGGCGTGCGTCTGTGTGGAATGCAAGTGTATCAAGCGGCGTCCGAAATCTACCACAAAAAGGACAAATACTGGGGACGAGAGTTGAACGAGGAAGGATTCAAAAATGCCCTGTGCACGTTTTTCGACAACGGATTCGGACTCAGAGTCTCCGTGATACAACAAGTGATCTCAAAACTGGAGCAGCTGCGAAGGGTCATTGAGAAGCAAAGCTGCTACAGGTTCTACTCGTGGTGAGTTGTTTTTTCACTATTTTTTTTTTTCAAACACAATATGTCCCAAATTGGGATTCGAATATGTTGCCAACCACACAAAATTCATAATCATTCAATCTATTTTGTTATTCTACGATCAAAATCTTGTGATTTTGAAATTAAGTTGGTAACATTGAAAAATGTATATAGACAGGAATTGCGACACAAAAATAAAATAAAATAAAATTGATGTCCTTTGACTGTTTTATTCAGGATTACAAACTTAATTCTAGAATCACAGACTAGTTTGATAATTGAAATTAAGTTGGTAACATTGAAAAATGTATATGTATAGGCAGGAATTGCGACACAAAAATAAAATAAAATAAAATTGATGTCTGACTGTTTTATTCAGGATTACAAACTTAATTCTAGAATCACAGACTAGTTTGATCAGAAATTCTTTTGAATTAGATCGAATTGATTTAATTTAATGCATTCATTTAAAAAATTACATAAATTTTAAGTTAAATTTAATAGGAAACAAAGAATAATGAAAAGAAAATATTAGCAGATTATCACTTATTTTGAGAGAATCCTAGAAGATAAATCAGAAAATGATTGGTTAAGGTCGTTTTTATTGATTTTGATTTTTTTTATGAAATTTTTGAAAGAATGTCGGATTATTTAAAATTTCAATTCACTTCAAATGACGTATTTTATGCCTATGAGAGTTCTAGAGGCTTCGTAAAATGTTGATCGAGAATATATTTTTTTTCGGTCGTGTTTATTGAGTTTTTTTTTATTAAAATTTTTGAAAAAATATTGTAGGAATTAAAATTGAAAATCTAACCAAAGCCTCGTAAAATGTTCTTCGAGCTTGAATTTTTTTTTTTCTTATTTATCACGATTGGAAGTCTCGAAAAGTTTCGAATTTGGAATTTGTATTTGACAAAATTTGGTTTATTTGTTTAATTTTAAACTTGAAAGTTTTTTAATCGAATCAAATGACGTTTTACGAATTCTTGTGGGGGTTTTAGGGACAAAGAATAATTTATAAAATGGTCGTTGGGCGAGTTTAAAAAAAAATCTTATTTTTTTGAAAAAATTGTTAAATGGTCGAGAAACTTCCTAAAAAAGTAAGAAATAATTTTTTTAATGCCTCACGACGAATGATTTTTGAAATATCTTGCGGTTTCTCGATCGGTTTTAAAGATTTTTTTTGAAATTTTGAGAAAAATGAAATACAAAATTAAAACTTTTTAATAATAAATTAAATTAAATGACGTTTGTCCTGGTTTTATGGGAATCTTGGGATTTAGGAACCAAAAAAAATGCATAAAATGTTGAGTTGAGTGTGAAGAAAAAATCGTTTTTTTCGTGCTTCTCATAATTGAAAAAAAAATAATGCAAATTGCAAAAATTACAAAATATGACGTAAATAGCGAGATTAATGAGCTCTACAATCAATGTTTTTTGAAATATCTACCGAATTTAGATTGATTTTGAGAGTTTTTTTTATTTAATTTTGAAAAATCAGAGAAGTGATTTTTGTTAATTGAAACAAAATATTTTTCGTTCTTCCATGGGGGTTTTAGGACCAAATCCATCAGTTTCTCGATTGAGTTTGAAAGTTTGCAAAATCGTAAAAATTACATGAAATTTTTTGTTACAAAAAATAAGTGGATAAATGAAGTAAATTTTGAATTGTCTGCCGTTTTTTGATCGGTTAAGAATTTTTTTTGAAATTTTGAAAGATCGGAATACAAAATTGAAAATTTTTAAATAAAACTAATAAATAACGTTTTTGTAGTTTTATGAGAATCTTAGGAATCATCAAAAATGCACAAAATGATGAGTTGAATGTGAAGAAAAAAATGTTTTTTCTTTCGTGTTTTCATAATCGAAAAAATTGAAGAAATTGAAAGAAACTTTTGGTTGCAATAAATTACAAAATATGTTTTTTAGACGTAAATAGCGAGATTGAATGTTTTTTAAAATACCTGGCGATCTTAGATCGATTTTGACCGTTTTTTTTGAAAATTTTGAAAAAATCAGTTCACTGATTTTTTTTTTAATTGAACCAAAATATTTTTCGTTCTTCCATGGGAGTTCTCGAGTGACTTTGAAAAAGTTCGCAAAATCGTAAAATTGTTTTACGTAAAATCACTTTTGGGGTATTTTCATTTTGATAAAATTGAAGTAATTTTATGGGGACCAAATGACGTGTTTTGAATTCTCATGGGAAGTTTGTTATTATCATTAAGAAAATAAATTAATCTAGAAATCCATAATTGGGAGACTTGTATGGCAACTTTCCCTTATCCAAACCTCTGCTTTTTGCTTGTATTTTATTAATAAAATTGTTTCCGTGGAGTAACATTTTTTCTTCTTTCTAGCTCTTTACTTATAGTATACGAAGGCAACGGCGGACTTCCGCTCCTGAAGCCCGAGCCGTGCTTGGAGCCCCTCTTCTGCGAGAGCGACTGCACTCGTGAATCCGAAGAGAGCAGTCATGAAGTTCCCTGTTGCTACGACGCCGACACCAGCAATTCCTCCGCCGATTTCAACTTGAGCCAGGACGAAGTCTCGCAAGACTCCCATCATCGGGGTTTCGGCGAGGCAGCGGCTCGAGGCGCCAAATACGGCAACTTTTACCCCATTTCCGAAGAGACAGTATTTCTGGATTCGCCCCCCACCATGCCCACCATCACCACCAGCAGCCCCCTTTCCATCGACAGCTGGATGATGTATTCCAACAGCAGCAGCGACGAGTACTCGAACTTGAACGGAATCAGCTCGAACGAAGACACCTCGGATTTCGAACCGTGTCTCAAGAACAGTCTTCAGTTCGGGCCGTTGGAGTTGGACGACGAGGACGAGGAGCTGGCGCCGACGGTGTCCCACAAGAACTCGACCAAGAGGTTGAGGGTGAAGGAGCGGGCGAGGACGGGGGCGCCGGCGAATGTCGATGTTCGAATGATTGATTTTGCGCATACTTCGTTCATTTCGACGAGCGATGAGAGTTCCAGTGGGGTGGTCCACCAAGGGCCCGATGGGGGATTTCTGACAGGTCTAGACAGTTTAAAGCGTTTATTATCGCAGATTTTAGCCGAAGGGTGAAGCTGCCATGTGAAATAATCATCGCAATGCTCTGTATTTAACAATAAAATTTCAAACATCAAAATTTTTGATGGTTATTTAGCCTGGTGTTTAGACTTTTCCAGATGGTGTAAATAGAACGTTTAGTATTTGTTACGTTTTAATTTATAACAGTATTCTTGTACAAAATTGTAGGATAAAACTGAATGGATATTTTCATATTCCTAGAGGTATGAAAGTTTTTCATTTTCTCTTTTTTCATTTTATTCTGTGATTTAACTTGTTTTATTTTTTATGGCAGAGTGGGTGAGTGGATGAGCAATTTCTAGACATTCCAGAATTTGTGTAGAGTTAACATGCTTGTATTCAAAATGAATTTCAGAAATTCATCCATGTTGAACATGACGCTGTTGTAAAAAATGAATTTGTTTGACATTGTTGCTCTTATAATTCCCACAGTGGGACCATTGGGTATTTGAATGTTTCTGATGTTATGATTTTTACAAATTACGGGATATGTTTAGGAATTTGAGCGAATTGTGATGTTTTGTGTTCAAACTTGTAATATTGTTAATTTAAAAATAAAACGAAAGTTGCAAATAATCAGACTTTATTTTTAAACCCTATAATACAAAAGCCATAAAACACTTCTTATATACAAATGAGAATAAATAACAACAAAATCATCTAAACTTTAATACAATATACAACACAAAGAACACAAACAATGAGAAGAAAAACAAATACACGATGTAGTAATTATGAGAGCCCTTTGACAGCCTCAAGACCCTATTCATGGTATTCCCCAGAAACCCCCTAGTCCTGTCCATATCATCATCCACGTCTCGCAACAATTTGTCCTGATACTTGAGCTCATTCCCTATATCTATCGACAATGACTTCAGCGCACCAACTTTGTCCCTTAATTCATTGGCCATTCGATCATTTTCCTCTTCGACTTCATTAGAACTCTGGGGCAGAGGCTCATAGTAATTTCCAGCATGGGCCCTTCTCATTTTGAACGATTCCAGCTTTGAGGTTACGACAAACTTCAACTATAAAACACACGGGATTTTCACTTCGGGTTTGCACCCGCTGACTCACTTTAAATTACAATTTTGCAATGTTTTTCTAAACAATGTTAACAAGTTGACGTGTTCAGCATTTTTGATTTTTGACAACTAATTTGACGTCACCTCACTAACGTCAAAGCTGGGGAATTTGCGTCATTACCACCACTAGCAAATAATACGAAAACACACAAAATGAATAAATCATTTAACGAAAACTCTGGTAATGAAGGCAAAATTTGTGAAAATATAAATACGTATTATTTTCAATTTTGTACAAATTTGCAGAAGAATTTATTTTTAAATGTTAGTGTCTTGTGGTAGTCATTGTTGGCAATAGTTTGTATTAGGCAACCAGTAATGCAACAAAGCGTACAAAACGAAATTTCTGTTGTAAAAACACCAGAATCAACGCTGTTTGGGTTTTATTTGTGCTTATTCGAGTGAAAAGTCGCCAAAATGATGTAAATTTATCCTTTCCAGGTGAGTTCCTACGCAAAAAACATTTTCTGTTTTTGAGGTTATGTTGGTGTTTTTGTTATGATTTGCAACAACAATGCTCCTTTTTTGTTGAATAAATTAGTTTGATGCAGCTGTGCACGCCACGCCGCACATAAAACGGTCGTAATCTGGACCAACACCAAAATAATCCCGAGCTAAAATAGTCCACACTTCCTGTTTCGTGTCTTGTAAATATTACGAAATTAAAGTTCGATCGTTGGGGCTGTTGTTAGGGGTGGCGCCACTGCGGGGGTGCTTTCAGTCTAGGTCGCGAATTATTGATTCGCTCAGCTGCTCTTTGTGTTGTGCTTCGCCAACATAACATTGAACAGCTGAGGATCGCTTGGCAGTCTTTTCACGTCTTTTGTGTTTGCTGGTTGTGTGGTCGAGGTGGTTAGCGTTTTTGGACTGAAATTGTCGTTTGTTGGCAGTTCGTCGACTCCGGAAGGTGTTGTGCGGACATGTGATTGATTGGGAAAATTTACACCCAACTCCTGAATGTTTTGTTGCAGTCGGCTGTGAGTATGGGGTGGTGCAAGGGGCACTGGGGTCATTAATTATTTATTATCAGTGACTATTCGAGGCTCTTTATTTTCAAAATAAGCATCATACAGTTTAAGAACTGAGTAACTCAATACAAAATACATATTGTGCGTCTGTAATAAAATATTTTTGACTAAAATCCGGTTTTTTTTGCATTTTTTAAAAAAAAAAAAGATCTCTAAAACACCCAAGAAGTCGCAAAAAATTTCTGTTTTTATACCTCTTAAGTCATACTCGTAACAAAATAATTATAATGCTTAAGTGGTTTTACAAAATTTACTACATGTATTTTTTCGTATTCATTTGTATAAGTGCGTGCAAAGTGAAATTCGTAAGGTTAAATTTGGATTAAGAGCCTTGAAAGCTATCCATCCGTTCGATTGAGTTGAGTTTTAAATATAGACAATCATTTTTACATGCGATTTGCTTCTCGAAATAATGTTGTAAAACTTGGATAAATATTTATTCAAAAGTTCGTGTGTAACTTACTTGTCGTCGTGCCGGATAAGAAACAGGGAAAAATATTAATCATAACAAATGAAACGATCCAGATGTTTCACATTCACATTGCACTTATTATTGTTACTGCAAAATTTGGTTTAATTTTCAATTTTTTTCGACTAGCGAAACCAAATAAATGAGGCGCTGATACTGAAGGATGTTTAAATTAAAATGTAAACTAAAATTACTGAGAAAATCACGTGTTTGTAAGTTTTGTTCACTCAGGTTGTGGATGTTGATAATTTGAGCAAATTAGGTACACCGAATCTGGGCTAAACCGACAAAATAAGATTGTTGAACAAAAACAAAACGCAAGCTTTCTCGTAAATAATACTTAATAAAGGTTTGCATCAAAGTAACAATTATTGAACAAACACGAAAACCATTGCGGTCAGGGGATTTCCTGTTTTTTTAATTGACTTTCTGGTAGACATTGGCATTTATTAAGCGGATTTTCCTTTGTGTAGTTCGCTCAATAATAAACAATATTTTAATTAATAGTTGCTTATGGCACAGTAATATTTAAAACCCAACGCGAAGCAGAGGGTGTTTTTTGTAAGGATCATTATTCTAAAACAGTCCGTTATTTTGATGTAACAGATTTTTTTATTATTCTGTGCCGAAAAGGCCAAAACGCCCGCATTTGCGAGAGTTTTTTCATAAATAATAAATGCGAGGCTATAAAAATCTTCTCTGAAAAATTGCTTGTCAATCCATAAAAAATGTTATAAAATGACAAGATTTTAAACATTTGTTGTGACATGTTGGAAGGAATTTAGTCACTTGAAAGTTGCCCTAAATTATAATTTCTAATAATAATGTTTTATATCTGCAATAAACAACTCAAAATTAAGCGAAACCACTCTTTTAAAAATTTGTTTCTAAATTGATGAAAAAATTCAAAATAAATGATGACGCGAGTTATTGGAAACTTGGATTATCGAAGTTCCACTGTACCTCAAATCTCTAGGAACAGAAATGTGTTCTAAATGAACACAAAAATGCTCATTGTTTTTATTGTTAACGTTCTAGAAAACATTTACAAATTTACATGAATTTTAATTTTATATAATGGTCAGCATAATTGCCTTGTCACCTTTCAGTTGCTATTAGTAAATAATAAATTTAAATTCAAATATTAAAAAAAATGTTTTGACCTAGCTACATTTAGGACATAAGCAGATTTTTATTCGATTTTGGAATTACAGTAACATTTATAAGCCCCCAAAAGTGGATATAAGATGGCTTTTTAGCAAATAAAGGTGATGCAACAGTATTTTTCCTGCCGGAACTACATACTAAATGTTTTTTGAATTTTTAGAAACTAAAATAGAGTAAACCACGGGCATAATTGTCTATAACGCCTCGTGCCATAATCTTCTGATTATGCCTTTAATTCATAAATAATTATAATAATAATGGTATACTAGTGCTTTGTTGCTGTTTGTTTATTTGTTAAACATGTTTATTTTAAGTATGAAAAATCTGATTATAAATTGAAATTTCTGGTTTTCATCTACGTATTGAGTGAATTACGATGCAGAAGCTGATTAATCGTACTATAATTATGAGCTTTTGCAAAGCTTTATCAAATGATAAGATAAAATAAGCAAACACTGTAAGTAGTTTGGTCTATCACTTTTTTTTTTCAAATAAAGCCTTTAGGTGATATCATATGATTCAGTTTTTTTAAACAGGTGTGATAAAAATGTAATTAACCTTTGATTGTATAAGAAAAATAATTTTTAATTGGTGTATTGTCCTTCACATTGTTTTGTTTTTAATTTAATCAAATAGTTTTAGAGTTTGTGACGTCAGAATTTTTAGTGAAATAAAAACAACGTGGGTATTGAATTTTCTGGTTTAGTGATTTCGAAAAAAAGGGACACTCCTTTGTGATATGATTTACAAACGTGACAAAATTAAAACATTCATTATTGAATTAATCATAGAAAAATAATTGGAACAGCAATTGAAACGTTGAGTTCCTTTTCTGTGGTTGTTGCGGAAACGATTGTAGAAATCGTTAGTGCATGAAACAATCTTTTTCATTATCACCCGCAGAGTTCATTCGATTTGTTTTCGTTGACTGTTTCTTTTAAATCAATTCACGTCGCAACCAGGTGGCTTTAACTATTAAGAATGAGTCAACAACTCGACGCTCATTATTTGCTTTTACAACGAGCATCAAAAGCTCTTTAAATGGAACTGCGTAACTAAACATTTGCCTTTTTCGTGTTGGAATAACTTCCTTGATTATATTCTCTTGTAATGGACAGACGCCGACACTTGAACCTCAAGGATTATTTTTTACCACAGTTTATATCTAGTAAATGGTAGCAACTTGTTTTACAACGGAGAAAGTTTATAGGGGCTGTGGTTTGCATAATCAGAAAGTAAACTGGAGACTGGAGTTATTCTGTATTTGCATTTTTACAACCGATGGATCCCTGTATGTTGCGAAGTAGGACACGACATCGAATCGAAAACACTCCTTGCTATTGTGTTTACGACTAGTTATTTCATGATCACATTACAAAAGTGACAGCTTATGTAACCCTTGACACATAAAGTGCCTCCACGATTACAAGGATCGATGAACCAACCGCCTTCGCATCTTTTCTACAAGCACATTTGCATTTGTGCCGTAACGTAGTATAGTTTTTTCTCGTTTTCTCAAACAGGAAGTCCATTTTTCGTATGCGTGGGTTTGAAATTTACATTTTGCGACGACATGCCGTCTACTTTACCCATCTTGGGATTAACCTGTTTTGCAAAAGTGAAAATTGTAAATGGCAGAGATTGTATCTTTTCGTATTGTTTATTGATTGTGCAGCCATCGGAGCGTTACATTTCATTGTGTCGAGGGAATGGGATTATGAGTAAAGGTCTCGCGATTCTCTTCCGAAAAATTTGTGTACCGTTCATTGCAGGAATTGTGGATTAATTCATGCGAATTCGAATGCTTTGCTTAAATTTGTCGATTATAAAACACGGAGTATGTCGATGCACATGAGGGGGTTTTCAAAGGTGTGAGCTGACCTTCCTGGGATTACTTCTTAAAAACTTGTGGCGGCTTTTTTGTTTTCAAAAATCTATATCTGTCTAAAAGTAATAAGAGGCAGAGGTGAACAAATAGTTCGTTTTGTATTAGGTGGTACATCCTTTAATATTTTCTGTTCTAATATTTAATTTTAGTTAATAGTCTGTGGTTTCTTTCACTTTTCTTTAATTGGCAAAATTTTCATTTCGTTTTATGCCAGACTTAAGCCAGCATTTTCATCAACTTTAAAAAAAAAGGCTATGTCATAAAACATTTAATTAGGTATTTAATATGCAAACTTTAACACGAAGGCTGTTTATTTTTTATAGTAAAGTAGTATACTCGTTCGTATTACATAATTTAAATATTTTCTAACTTTAGGTACAGTCGCGGCCGTTGAAAACTAAGACACTTTTGCAAATCCAAAATTTTGTCTACAGTAATATCCCAAGTGCATAAAAATAGCCAATAAATTTTGACGTTTTTGTCAAAAAAAATTTTGCTTAGAAATACAGGGTGTTTCATACAACTTTACGAGGCTTGCGCCTAATGTACGCACCCAAATATACAAAATTCACAAAACACTAGATACAAAAAATACACATTTAATTATTTAATTTTGGAAACTGCAGTTTTTTAGAAACAATTATCATTTGTTCTATCAAGAGACGGCATGAATATGATTCTCGTTTATCTATCTTAGTCACTAACTAAAATGTTGTAATTTTTGAAAGGGTCAACAAACTAGAGAAGATTATCCAATTTTCAAAATTTGTAATCGAGTTTGTATCGGAATATGTATTATTGATTGCATCTTACAGGCGTAGGCCTCGTAAAATTATATGAAACACACTGTATATCGAGTCAGTTTGCCACGTAACAAAATTTTGGGTGGAAAATTGACGAAAAATATTTCTTCTTAGCAAAACATTTTGACAAAAAACGTCAAAATTTTATCAGGCTATTTTAAGAATATTCATCATTATTATTTCCTGAATAAGTAATACATTTTGGAACAAATTATTTATTATTTTGTATTTAAGTTGGAATTATAAAAGAAATTACAGTATTGAAAAAACTTTTGCTCGTCTATAAGCATCTTTGATATTAGTGACTAATAAGTTCAGAAGCGATTAAATTTTGACACATTTTTAACATTTGCAAAAATCGCTGTAAAATGGACAGAAACCATAGTAATTATAATGTTTTGATTCTATGAATTCTATAATCATTGTAAACTGAAGTTTCTCAAATGTCATTCAAATAATTACGAGTCACTGTCTTAGAGTAGAAAACTTTACTTCAAAACAATGAACTTTTGTAGACAGAAATAACTAATATTTTATTGCAACACCATCCGAATCCTAAAAATTTAAATCGACATTGTCATTCTTGATGAAAACCTAATTTACACTTTACAATTTTTTTAAATAGCAAATAGTATACCAAAAGTAAATGTCTTAGTTTTCAACGTCCGCAACTGTACGTACATTGTACGAATTTTTTAAAGGTTTTCTCGAAAGGAAATTAGTGAATTATGCTGAATGAAAATTTTTGGACGAATTTAAAGTTTTCTTGCATCCATTGTGAAGCAATAAATTTAGGCATATGATTGTATTTACTTTTATTCTCTCTTTTTGTAGTGACGAAAAAATTGATAAACTCGTGAAAAATTAAAATTGTTTAGATACAACCAAGATGTTGCTAAAGAACAAAAGTTTACATTATTGAAGCTCAATAATTATCCTAAAACAAAATTTCAAAATTTGTATTATTGTATAATATGTTTGATTATAATTGACATTGTAGTAATTGTAAAATTTTCTTATGGCGATGAAAATAGCGACAATCTCCATAAACAATTTTTGCATTAGTGTTAAAAACCCGCTAGTCAGTCAAACAAGCAGAATTTTAATTTTTATTGTCGTAAATTTAAAATTCAAGAATGCGTATGTTACTTATTGCATATTAATAAGCACATGTTATCATATTAATGTTCTGTTTACGTTTTTTTAGCCGGAAGGCAATGAAACCTGTACAATAAATTTTTTTCGCCGTTAGACGAAAATACTTAATGTATCCAACAAATTATTACACAAATTTTAGGCTATATTTAAGTGGATTTATTTCTGTTTTGATTAGTGGTAACCTTTTCAGCTATCCTAATTTAACAATCTTGTCTTGAAAAGTGTACTCTCCTGAAGCTTTTGTGATCAAATTGATCGGCTGAAGCCAAATTATAAACAACGTGATTTATGGCGTTGAGTTCAGTGACTATACTTGACTGTTTATTTATTTACTTGTAAATTAACGAGTGTATTGCGGCACTAACAAACCATTTAAAATTACGAAATTATATCGACTACAGCACGTGGAAGGTGGCGAAATAATTAATTAATCTGAAAATTTGGGTCGAGAAGGTGACGAGTTTCGAGATATCAGTCAAAACTCACTTTATCTCAAATTTATTCTCAGTAATTGTTGTTATTATTATTGTAATTGTATTTTGTTTCTTGTAAGAAACGCATGCGCCCACATGTACCAAACAGCTGACCGGTCGCAGTCGCGTTTAGTACGTGTTGTAAACGCGAGTTGTTTTTTTTTATGAAGTACTATACGCGATTTGGCAACGAAACGAAAATTATTTTCGCGATTGTATCACCTCGGAATGGACTCACTACAATACACCATTAGGTATGTCGATTTTTTCAATTTTCGACAATTTTTTGGGGTTCATATCCCGAAATCCAAGATCAGAGACCTTTCCGAGTTCAGCAATCTCAGCTGTTGCGAAAAACTTGTTTGTTATCGTGACGACGATTTCCGGTAATTCGAAAATGCGCAGTTAGTATACGAAATTTTTTTCTTGATAGTAATGTTCAAGAAAAATATACGAAACGTTGGCTTTCATCCAGTGTTGCAGAAATAACAGCTGACGGTTGCATTTCTGGTTTCAAGGTCTGGCCATTGTCTGAGGGTTCATTTCAAGGTTAATCTTGTTTGAGGCGTTTGTCTGGTGAACCACCTGTTGGCGAGGTTCATGAACTTGGGAACGCGGTTTAGGGGTGAAGCCCATTCGCGGTGGTAATGTGGGTCGCGGTGATGTAATGATTTCGGGTTTTTTGTTACTGCTCAAGTGGGACACAAAAATTCCAATCTGAGACTCGAGGTGCTTTATCCTGACGAGAATTTTGTAACCAGAAAAAACCTCTCTAATGTGGAAGCAGTTTGGAATCAAGAGATTGTGATTGTTATCACGTTTACAAAATCACATTAGCATAAAAATGTCACTTGTATTTGTTAACTATGTGTTACTTGACTAAATATAGAAACACATTCCGGAATGAACTAACCCGATATCATCGCAGTTATAAACTTCATACTTCTTTATGATACGGTTCATGGGAATGGTTAAAGCTTTTGAGATTTATGTGACATCGCTTACAAAGATTTACTAAAGAATTGTAAACCGGAAAAGTTGCATCGTTTGTGGCTTGAATTGGCTGCTGCATTGCTTTCGCACAGAGAGCATAAAATTTTTTATGTTTAAACTACATTTTACTTTTAAATGCATAAATGTGCAAACATGAAATGAGATATTTTTATGTTGTTTATAAAACATATCCCTTTGTACATATTTTTCTACATCAAGTGGTTATTTTTCTCGTTATAATGAATTTAAATCGAAAAGAAATAAGTAGATCATAATTGCGCTATAAGTAAATATATATTTTAAAAAAGGAACAAATTAAATGCACAGTGAAATAATAAAAGCAGAAACTTTTACTGTAAAGTGCCTTTTATGTGACAAATACGACAAAAAGTTATTAAGAAAAGTTGTTTAGAATCAACTTCTAAGCCCCTATACCAAATTTCAAAATCATCGGCCAACCATGATTTTTCATTTTTTTACACACCCAATGAACACGAGCTACCACGAATATCTCATAAACTAAAAAGACTTTGCAAAAACGCCGAAACAGGTCAATTTTGTTTCCGAAGGGGACATTTATTGCCGTAATTTTTAAAGCACCCGCAGTAACTCTGTAACCCCCACACACCTCAACTTTAAAAATTTAAATGACACTACCCCACTTGTGGCACATCAAATGAAAGCCATTTTAACAACCTTTTCAAGATTTTTTATCAAAATTGAATCAGGCTATGCATTCATTTAATTCACAAATCAAAGAATTTTATTCTTAACATTTTTTTTTTTATGAATAAAAAATTTTCATACTTAGATTATTACGAAACAACTTACTTTTTAACGTAGTTGTTACTAAAAGCATCTATCTTGAAAAGAAAACAATTTTTTTTAATAACTTTTTGTCGCATTTGCCCCATAAAAGGCACATTACTCTAAAAAAATAGTTTTTTTGAAAATTCCCAAGACATACTTTTGAAAACTAAAATTATGTTACAAATTAGTCTTTAATCAAGCAGGGCTGAACCCCAAAAAATTAAAATTTAAATCGAGAATTTTTTATCTTTGACAAGTCACCTGTCCAGGGACACAATGCAAAAATTAATTAAACTGATCATTTAAAATTTTATACCGAACAAAATCGAATTGTTCACCTTTTATTACTACATACACTTGAGTGCAAAAAAACGTAAATTGATTTTTTTTATAATGTAATTTGGCGTGTTAATAAATGCCAGTTTTTTGACGTTATCTTTGTCACAACTCACAATTGTCATAATTGTCCAAATTGCTGTCAAGTTTTTCCATGTTTTTCCATTTATTTTTTAACGCTGACTATGACACTGCTCTGACAAGACCACCAAATACGACATGTCTTTTGATACTTTTCTAAGCTTTTTTGGGAACAATCTTTTTCACACTATGTAATTCTCTGAAAAATTTGATACTTTTGTTTTTGACAATTTGTATTTTTTCTGCACTCAAGTGTACCTTAGTTTGAACAAAATTTTTAATTTGAAACAAATGGTTTTTACAATTTCAGTTTTTGGATTGCGGATAAAAATTGATTCTCTTTGTATTAAAGAAAATTACAAATTTATATTCTACAATGTATGACGACTCTACTTCCATTCTAACGAAAAATATTAAAAAAAAATTTGCTTGTATTGAAAATGTTTTTACTGGTAATAAGGCTAATAAATAGAGTCTACATTTACCAATAAGGAATAAGGCTGTTTAACTCGCAAATAAATGTGATAAGAAACTTTGTGTAATTTAGTTTATTTTCTTTTAGTTATTTAACACGTCACAGGGCGCTTTACAGAACATTTAATTGTACTCAAATTTTAATTTGTTATTAATTTAACATTTGTCAATGCACAGATAAAGTTATAACAATGTCAAAAGTGGAAATAAAAACATGGTGAATTTTTATTATACAGGGTGTTTCACATAATTTTACGAGGCCTGCTCCTGTAAGATGCAATCAATAATACATATTCCGATACGAACTCGATTACAAATTTTGAAAAATTGGGTAATCTTTTCTAGTTTGTTCACCCTTTAAAAAATTACAACGTTTTTAGTTAGTTAGTGATTAAGATAGATAAACTACAATCATATTCATGCCGTCTCTTGATAGAACAAATGATAATTGTTTCTGAAAAACTGCAGTTTATGACTATTAATGAAACAGTGATTAGTTTGACAACTACTGTCATGGGTTTCCAAAAATTAAATAATTAAATGTGTATTTTTTGTATCCAGTGTTCTGTGACTTTTGTATATTTGGGTGCGTACAAACACCCTGTATTTACTGTTATCAAAAATACAGTTTTACAACCAACCAACGAGTACAAAAAAGTATTGGAATTAATTTATAATTTTGCTACAAAAATATTTTTGTTACTATTCTGCAAACATCAAGTTATAGAGTGCAGGAATGTTTTTTGTAGATTTTATACAAGTAATCACTTTAAATTACAGCTGATTAATTTGTTTTATTATAAGCACATTCAACATCGCATTGTCCAGTCATTTTTCCTAACGATACCACTACAATAGGATTTTTTCATGGTAAATGGGCATGAAACAGCCAAATTGAAAAAGTTGTCACATTTTTCATGGTATGCCTTCACCCCTCTGTGTCCCCTTTTTGCATTTTAAGTAGTAGATTATAAAGGTCGAGGTTCTTATTTAATCAAATAATTAATTAATTGGATTGCCCTAATTCAACTAAGCAGCTTGTGCGTGACAATTAATAATTAAGATAATTGTTGTGTGTTTTGAAGCGGACAAATCGGATAATTTACTAGACCAGTTGAGAATGTTATGCAGATTGTACAATATTTAGAAACGGTGAGATAATGTCACTGCTTAAACAAATATGGTTGGTAATAGTCAAACATAGTAGCGTTTATCTGATAACTAATCAAGTTTTTCCACAATTTTTTATTAGAGTAGACTAGTATGAATTACGAAAAAATCTTGTTGTTTCAGAACGAGGCTTGGGGAGAGGATGGTCAGTATGAACTCGACCCTCGTCGAAACGGTCAGCATCAACTATGAAGACTTCAACGAAAGTTTTCTCACTTGCGGCACTTGCCTATGTAAGCGTTTCACTTCAAAATTCTCATTTCTCGCACGAAATCAAAATTCTAAAAAAAAATTGGTGTTCTTCGGGCCTGCTGTAGTAAAACAACATTTCTGTTGTTGCAGATGGCCTATGGACCGGTGGGTTATTTAAAATAAAAATTCGAGTGAGATATGGATGGCAGATTGAGGCGTTTTTTGGTTGCAGGCATGTACGACGGCAACGAGCACACCCCCAAGTTGCTTCAATGTTCGCACACCGTTTGTCTTCATTGTTTGACGAAGATCGCCGCTTCCCAGACGAGGGATACGGGCTCCTTCAGATGCCCCATCTGCAGAGAACTGATAACAATACCACGAGGGGGCGTTTCAGCCTTGCCACCCTCTTTCTTAGTCAATCAGTTGCTGGATCTCATGTCGAGACAGCGGAGAGAAGTCATACCGAAATGCTCCGTGCACATCAACCAAGAATTGCTCTTCTGTGAAACATGCGACACTGTTTTTTGCACGCTGTGTACTGAAGGATCTCATAATGACACAATCAATAGTTGCGAACACACAATCATCCCTTTTTCGATCGCGATCAAGAGGATGTCGGAGATTTTGTTATATAAGGCCAACGAGTGTATTTCAAAGGTGCTTAAATTTTTTAATTGGAGAATGTGGGGGTTTATTGGTTTGGTTACAGTTGACGCAAGCGCAAGAGGGTGTCAGTTCGGAATTGCGGAGGTTGGATACAGCCAAAGAGAATTGTCTTGATCAGATCAATGCGACATTCCAGAAAGTTCAAGCGTTTTTGGATAATAGGAAACAGGAAATGATCGAGGCGTTGAATTCGACGTGTGCGGAAAAAAGAAGGGTCTTAGAAGAACAGCATTCTTTAATTGAATGCGAAAAAAATAAGGTAAACGAAAGATTGAAATCGTAATTTTGATCCGTCTACAAGAAATTAACAGCAATTTAATCTTTTAAAATTCAAGTAATTAAATATTTCACAAAACACTAGGTTTTTATATTAATAACTGACAATAGTTATTTGTTAGTTATTTAATAATAATAAAATAATGCGTGTCTTAGTAACAATTCATTTTAAGAACTTGTTTCGCTTGAAAATACGATCTGTAGCTGTTCTTGAGATATGGACTCAAATTCTGTGACCGTGACAGTTATGCTGAGCTGAGCGTTAGAATTACACAGTTTTAATTTGACGTTTTCTATGTTTTTACTTTTTATGTTGAATTCTTGTTTGGAAAATAGTTGAAATGTTCAGGTGTTTTGATAAACACTTGTGGCTTTGTCTCTGCAACCAGGTTGGTAATTGCGGAAAATATTGTTATCACAAATACATAGCTGCAAAAACAGTTTTATGTATCACCGTTTAAAGAAGAGCACAATCTTACTTTTTAGCAAGGGTAGAAATTACCTAATAATAAACAGAGGAAAAAAATTCAGTATAGTGAAAATTTACGTCAATACAGGGTGGTTTTCAACTAACGGCTGGCGCTGTAGCATTTTTTATATCCCGATTTCAAAAATTAAAAAAAATAATTAAATTATTATAGTAGGTACAAACTGACAATTTTTGATTTTTTTAAATGGCTTAGTATATTTTGTATATTCAACTTTCTAATTTTAAATTGGAATCCATATTTTTTTGTTATAAATTTGGAAGGTATTAGTTTTCTTGGTAGACATGTGCAATATGTTTCGCTTTTACTAGAAATTACAGTTAAAAAAAATATCAAAGTTAAAAAAAATAATAAAAGTTAATAAAATGTAGCATCGTGGTGTCGAATAAGACAATGTCATTATTCTAATGTCAAACAGCAGCAAATAAAAGAAAATATTGCCAATATTTTTTCAACTTTTTGATAAAAAAAGACAATAATAATTACCAATGTGATTAATTTATTTTGTTATTATGTATTTATTTATTTATTTTGTTTACTTTTAATAAGATTATTGTTAACGTCAAATTTTTTTTGGACATTATGGAACTAGATTTTGACTGATAATTTTGTTTGTAAAAGTAGAACATGTTGTATGTACACTCTATTTCAGTTGATAGTAGAATTTGATAAACAGGGTTTTAGCGGTTTTACTAAAGTTGTGTTGAATCTCGTAGCCATGATTTTCTACCTTATTTTTTAAAGTTGACAGCAGTGTTTTTTTTTCTGTCACATTGAAATTAAAGGTTATTCACGACGCTGTTGGGGTTTAATAAAATTTTAGGGCACAATACGTGCATTATTCAGAACATTCAAGTAATAAAATACAGTTTAAGCCGAAGCTTGTTTTTGGATGAAACATCAGTGAATAACTCCGATTACCTCCGATAAAAAAGTGTCGATCAAGTTAAAAGTTGGACACCAAACCCCAAGTCCAAGAAATTTGTTCAAAACGTCGATCGAACTTCTGATATGAAAGATTTGTAAGAAGAAAAGCATATTGTTGCTAAAATCTGTTAATCACGTTCATGTGTTTGTGGCAGTTATCAATTTACAAATAAAACTCTTGAATGTTGGTTCTTTTTAATAAATCAAAGATCGATATTGATAATAACAAACATTTTAGCCACATCCATAGTTTTAATTAACAAAATTGTTATGAAACATATCTTGTACAAGAATAATGTGCCTCACAACTTACAACAAACGCAGTTGCCTTAAGGAAACCCTTAGTGGTGCAGTGGTTTAGTTGATTGACTAAAAATCGGAAAACTATCCAAATGTTCCGTAGATATTTGACTTATACTGGATAGCAAGATTGTTTTATTTTTAGTTTTGTGCTTGAGTGATAGGAGTTTGTGACATATCGCGTTTTGGTGTTGGTATGTTGGAGGATTAGCATAATTCTTTATTGTGACGATAGTTCTGCAGTTCATCGAATCATTTAAAAGAAATTTTTGCTACTATGAATAAGGTCACAAGCCAGCCTATCTACGGGGAAGCAAACCCAAGTTAATCCTTTCTTTGGTTCTGAACAAGAACGAATCTTGTTGGATACAATTTCCACTTTCTACTGACGTTGCCTGCAGATGCTTCTATCTGAGTTGATTATGTCTGATAGATTTGTAATTACCTTTTATGAGTAAACTTAAAATAAAAGTACTTTTCTTATACCTTTAAGTTATTTAACTAAAATTGGAGCTCAATAAAACTCGTTCAAATACTATTCAAACACTCATGTTTTGGATTGTTTTAAATATCGAAATCGAATTGGATATATTGTAGTTCCTTCGGTTTCCGTTAACGAACACATTAAAATCAATTTAAATAAATAAACTCAAGATTTACTAATTAAAACACCAGCTGTTCGTAGATCGTCAATAAATGTCAAAATGCTGTCAAAAGTGATCAGTGTATTCGTCAAGGTTACTTTGTTGTGCATAAAAGTTGAGTACACTCGTAAGTTGTGACCTTGAGAATTCTACTATCCACTGAAATATACATGTCTGTACCAAGAAAACTAATATATGTTTTCCAAATTATGAAATAGTACATTACAAGCGAGATGGTAAATATGGCATTAAAAAGTTAAGGTCCAAACGTGGCAGGCCATCCAAATTGCTTTTGATTTTTGACATTTCAGAAATGTCAAAGAAAATATTGAAATAATGTGTGAATCTGATTTAAAATCGTTGAAATGAAGCAGTGTACTCCCCCACAAGTAAGAGAAACTGCTACAAAAGCATTTGAATACTAAGTTAGCAAAATATTATGCGTAACTTGACTATTTGAAAGAAAAAATTCCCAGTATTTTTGTAAGCAAACCTGCATATTACCGCCCAAGAGAAGTAATATTTATTCCTTCTCTTGTATCTTGTTTTATCTATCTCATGATGTGTTTCCTAACCTTTAAAAGATTAGTAATCGGCATATTACATTAGTGATTGTGAATAAAAAAATGTATCCAAAATTATAAAGTTGAATATAGCCCATGATATATCTGGAACATAGAAAAAATGGTTAAAATTTCTGTCAAAAAATTTTGACATTTATTTTTTGACATTTGACATTTTTTTATGTCTATTTAGTATTACTGAGGATCTTGCATATGTTTTTTCATAATTATTTAGTAGAGGTACCAAAATTTTCACAAAAAAGCCACAAAATAATGTTAAACATAGTTACAATTCAGATGTAGCTTTTTTTGTTTCCTCTTCTAATAACTTGCAGCAAAAAAACATGTAAAATTATTTTGCTAAAAGAAATAAAAAGGATCAAAGTGCAAAATTTAAATCCACATAATTTTGAAATTTTTATGTTTAGATGTAAATTTGACATTTTTTACCGTCTGTAGACATTTTCACAGTGTTTGTCTACATTATGGTAAATAAAATAATAATAAAAAATAGTAAAAACTTCACATTACTCGCGGACTTATATTAAAAGTTCTTGGAATTTGAAAATTCGACTTTGTAATTGTGGCTATTACGAGTAAATTACATGTATCTCCTTGTGTTTGGTTCGGATTAGATTAACAAAAACTTGGTTGAACAATATGCGAGTTTAGAAATCTTATTTTGTGACGCAATTTTTATAGTATTTTTTTTATAGGTGGAACAAGAGTGTCAAGGCCTCCAGTACCAAGTTGAAGTCCGCAACATAACCCAACGCATCGAAAGTCTCACCGAGAAACTCGACGCTGCTTCGAATTTAGGCGAACCGCGCGAAAACGCTTTTCTTTCGTGCGACTTCGCCCAAAACAACAGTCTCGAAATCATTCAAGAACAATTGAATGTGTTAGGTCGCGTCCGTACCAGCACCACCTTCCCTAGTTTGTGTTCGGCGAAAGTAGAGGGCGACATAATCGCCGGTATCGAAACCAGCATCATTCTCAACACCGTCGACTACCACGGCAATCAGCGTAAATCCGGCGGGGATCCGATTGAAGCCGAATTGTTACCAGTCACACCCGAGCAAAACACCAATTCCGTCCCGTTGGAAGTGATAGATAATGAAGACGGTACTTATGTGATCAAGTTTAGAGCACTCAAATCGGGACGATATGGTGTCAGAATATCGATTTTTGAAAGATCGATTAAAGATAGTCCGTTGTTTTTCGACGTTTCGGAACACAACAACCCGGTGAAGACTTATGGGTGTCATGGGAGTGGTAAAGACGAGTTTATACAGCCTGTAGCTGTTGTTGTTGATGAAAGTGATCAGAGCGTCTATGTTCTGGATACGGGCAACTCGAGAATTAAAGTTTTGAATGAAAATCTAGAATTCGTCAAACACATCACAAACGAGGGACTACTTGGCCGAAGTTGCACTGGAATAACTTTGTCAAGTAATGGTTTAATTGTTGTTAATTGGCGAAATAAGAGCATCACGGAAATGTCCAAAGATGGGGAGACTATTAAGACGTTTACATATAATGCGTTCCAGGAGCCGATAGATGTCGCAGTTGACAAAAATTACGGACATATTTTGGTTGCTGATAACGGAATGAATTGTGTGTTTGTGTTTGATGCAGATGGGAAAATTTTGTTCCAAGTTGGGAAGAAAGGAACATTCTGTCAAATTTCTTCAGTTACTGTTGGACCCAACAGCGAGATTGTTGTCGCTGATTACAGGATACAAGTTTTCTCGGCGAAAGGAGACTTTATGGATGTGATAAGGGACGAAGGGAAAGGTATTTGTTTTTTACAACTTGTTGTTTTGTTATTTTCACGTGTGAATTTAGGTAAGGGGCGCTACGGGGGCGTCGCTATAGATTCCGATGGGCGTATTTTAGCGAGTCGATCGGAGCAAAAGGGGAAAAACTACCTTCAAGTGTTGAGTCTCACTGACAGTAATGTCAACAATCACATTGATTCTCACGAGAGCAAGTTGAAGAGGCCTAGTGGTGTGGCGGTCACTACAGGCAACCATGTCATAGTCGTAGATTTAGGGAATAATTGTATTAAAAAATATCGATATTGGTGAAATTTAACCGTTGTACTGGCTATTCTTTGGCTGCATTTGCAGTAGTCACGGTTTTGAACACATTTTGTATTTTGTTTCGTGTTGTACCTGGTTTAGGACAGGTCAGTCATTGCTTCTCGCCACTAATGTATCATTAAGCAAAATGTATTCAAACGTTGCAACATTTGATTAGTTAGCTTGACTATATTATTATTTTTTACTGTTGAAGGAAGCTATGGGAGGTAATGTTATTGATTGTTGAAGATTGAAAAGAGCGATGGATTTTTACGTGTTTTTTTTTCTATCAAGTGTTGTGCTCTTTAGTTGAAACCGTGCACGATATTGCAGACTTAATAATAACTGCTTATATGGTTTCACCCAGTTTTTGTACTTAAATTAAAATACTGTTTTAATTTTTTGTACTGTTTTTGGAAGTATACTTTTGTTTTCTAGTCATTCATTGCGCATATTTTTATACTATATAGTACAATTGTTTTGTACACAATAAATTTCTTGATAAAGCTTGTTTTTTGATACCTTGTTTCGCAAACCAAATACCATTTTACCAAAAACCAAATATCCTACGTTTTTGTAATTGCAATTTTTGTATGAATTGTTTTGGAATATTTTTGCAGTGTTAAAAATGGATGTGAAAAACTGAAAAACGTATGTTTTTGTTTCAACAACCAAGTCAAAATTTAGTTAAAAAAATTGGTAGTAGTTGATTTCAAATTTAGTTTGTTTCGAAGATTGCGTTCTTTCTCATTCATGAATGAATTTGCAGGAGGTGTTCGTTTCCATTTAAAAAAAAACTACGTTGGAAAGTTAAAAACGAATTTTCAGGTTACTGTTACAAAAAATCAACGAAATGGACAGTGTCATCAGTAAGGCTCGGATTATATGCACGAAAAATTCGTAAAATATGCGCATATGCACGTATTTTCAGAAAAAAAATGCACAACATATTAAGAAATTGCTCCAATATACAGGATGAATATAAAGTATGGAACCAAGCGGTTTTATTTTTAATCATTTGTCTCCAGAAAATAATAATTAATATAAATTAAAGTAATATAAAAAATGTGATCGTATTTTTAGAACGAAATTTTGTTTTGTTTTTGAGTTATGCGATTTTTTTTGTCAAAATTGCAATTTATGTGAAAAAATTAAAAAAAAAATTAAATATAAAGTAGATAGTTGTAATCCTTAGAGTATAGCTTTTATGAGAAAAATGATTTTATAGTGGGTTGCCATTTAAAAAAATATTTTTTTTTGTAGAACTCAAAAACAAAAGGAAATTTCGAAAAAATTTATTCTTGTTAAATCATCACATTTTTATAGTACTTTATCACTCATCAATTAGTTTTTTCAAAAAATAAATAGTTTAAGCAAAAAACGTTTGGTTCCATACTTTTTATTCACCTGGTATGCCAAATATGCATCGATATGTAAAACTTTTTAACAATAAAAAATCAAAGTTGGGATAAATTTTTATCCTCGAGTACACTAAACTTTGTATTTTCGGCTTCTTGAAAGAGAATAAATAAATTGGTTTTGCCCCAGACAAGCCATTTTAATAACATAGTAATTAAGCCCTTCTAAGAAATCTGTACTTTTCAGATCATTTATTTTTTTTAATGGCAAAGCTACCAAATAAAACATTTTTCTCATGAAGGTCATGATCTAACAACTACTAAACAACTTTATCTTAAATTATTTTTTTTTATAAATTGCAATTTTGACAACAAAAATCGAACAACTCAAAAACTAAGCAAAATTTTGTTCTTTATATTACCTTAATTTATATTAATTACTATTTTTTCGAAACAAATGATTTTAAAAAAACCGCTTGTTTTGATACCTCATAAAACGAATTTAAAACGGAAACACTCAGCAGGATACTAATTTTTTTGAGTCTGGCTTACGAATTACCAGTTGTTTTTTCTTTAAAATATTTTGTAATCGGATCATTTTTCTTAAACTATACAATTTTTAACTTAAACTGAAATTTTTAATCGGAAATTTGTGATTTGAAGAAAATATGCACAAATATGCATTTTTTAATTGGCTAATCCGAGCCCTAGTCATCAGTGTTGCCAAATAAATGTTCTTACACTAGATTTAGTGCCAAAAAATATAAATACAACCTCTCCTGAAATTAAATAATAAATAATTCCAATTTCAAGCTGCGATCCAAGTTATAGTGCAAAAGCACTAGGGCATGACATATGTCGGTCATTGGGTGTAATGAAGCCTAGTCATTGGCCGTACTGATTACTGAATCAAATAAATATTCCTTTGTTTGACTGAAATTTTACGTCATTTCAGGGATTGCCCACTTAATTTTCGTCAAACATTGAAAATGGATAGTCATAAGAGTTTGTTTTATGAGAAATTAAATGCATATTATTTGAAGAACAAAGATGCCAAAAAACCGTGGAATTATGAAGAAATAAAGGAGGTAAGACTTCTAACCTCAAAATACACCTTTATTTCAGTTGTACATATTTTAGGTTGCAAAAGATATTTTACTTGCCAAACAAACTACTGGCAAAAAAACTCGTAGGCAATATCATTTATTGTCCCTGTATGACACGATGAAGTTAGGAAATAAACAAATCATCATTAAAAAAAGGTTAAAAAATAATGATAACATTATTTATGTCACGCCGTACGAAGACTTGTTTGAAATATTGTATTCTACGCATATTGCAGTAGGGCATGGTTGTAGAGATAAAATGATCCTTGCTTTGAAATTCAATTATCAAATTTCACGTCCTGTTGTTGAGATATTTTTGCAGTGCTGCGAAGTTTGTCACAAAAAAAAAGTTAACAAACATGCAAATCTTGTAACCAAGCCGATTGTTTCAAAAGAATTTTGCTCTCGGGGCCAAATCGATCTGATAGATTACCAGTCATGTCAGGATAATGACTACAAATGGTTACTGAATTATCAGGACCATTTAACAAAATTTATCTGTTTACGCCCATTAAAATCAAAACAAGCTGCTGAAGTAGCATCAGAACTGGTAAAAATTTTCCTCGAATTTGGGGCACCAGCTATACTACAGAGCGACAACGGCCGCGAATTTGTAACTAGTATAATTAAAGAATTGGCGAAACTGTGGCCTGATTTGAAAATCGTTCATGGAAGACCACAGTCGCAAGAGAGCGTGGAAAGATGTAACCAAGATGTTGAAAATATGCTGCAGGCGTGGATGTTAGATAAAAACTCAACAAACTGGTCAGTCGGTTGCTATTTCGTGCAGTTTCAAAAAAATATTTCGCATCATAGAATTATTGGTCGCAGCCCCTATAGAGCATTATTTGGAATAAACCCAAAAATTGGACTATCTTCAACAAATTTACCAACCGAGGTTATTAAAAACTTGGAAACGGAAGAAGATGTTAACAAGCTTTTGGCAGATCTCAAAATTAAAGAAAATAATAATATAGCAGAGAACGAACAGCAGGAAACATTTGGCGACGAAACAGTAACTGATATTGTTGGAGAACAGGAGGGAGCATCAAGTGCAATAATGGAAGTAATTGAAGCTGATAATTTTGATCCCATAAACGTTGCCTTACCTTTTGCTGGTCCACAAGAAGGTATTTGCATTGACTGTAAAAATCAAAAGAATAATGCATCATGTGTATTGTGTTCTCCACAAACCTCCATACGGAGTAACAGAAATGAATGCCATTCAGGACAGAAAAGAGCAGCTAAAAAAATGTTGTCAAGTACTGCTAAAAAACAGCCACCATTAAAAATTGGCGACTGTGTGCTGTTGCCAGTTGAAAAAATTGATCGTGGTTTACATTATTCCTAGAGTTCCTATATTGAAATATAGGAACTCTAATTATTTCAAATAAATGAAACAAATATTTTGCAACAATAAAAATATTTTGTCTTTTTGGCTTTTCTCTTCTACCTACCAAAAATTTACATTTCTATAGAAAGTATCAAGCATCGATCAAAAATAAATTAGAGTAGGCGACGATTAATACTCTACAGTTGGCAACACGTTGGCTGGGAATCTGAGCTGGAAATTTTCCGCACAAACTGAAAGTGAAAATGACTATTCACTGTACAGCACTTGTAATAACTTGCAACAATAAAAAATTTCTGCTCTAAAGTGAACATTATTTCACTCAAAATGAATAAAACGCAAAGTTGTCAAAGCTTCTGCTGACATTTGATGTTAAAAATCAGGCTTGCCATCTTTATTAATTTTTTTGATCGCACGGTACATTTCAGCAGTACTGATCCCTGGTGTTTTTTATCTTTCCTTTCAGTGCTTTCGTATACATTACATTGGCAACATTAAATGACATGCGCATTATGCCCGATTCTGTGATTTTTCATCAACAAACACGTGCACACGTTTGTTGTTTACGATTCATTTTAAGGAGAGTTTATTGGAAAGTCGAACGTTTTTAGGTCTCCATCCGAAGGTGTGCATTGCTTGCGTTGGTTATTGTGAAAGTTTTTTGGACTAAGAAGACTTGCTTCAGAGTCGGTGAGTTTTCCGCATGGTTCAAGCTTTCAGTTACATATCTATTAGTTTTTCATGAATGATGATTTAATGAAACAGTGTTGAAACTTGGTGTGATGAAAATAGCTTATTGATATCCAATATGCGACTATAACACATAATTCGCAAAATAAGATGGAAGACGAGGTATGTAAGTCTGTGATGTAAGTTGCACGTTTAATAAGAGCCGCCATTTAGGGCCAGTTTGATAATACAAAATTGAATTAAAGGAACTTTAAAGTTAAAGTTGGGGTAAGTTTTTACTTTAGCTACTTTTGGATTTTTTTCGAATTTTTTTTTGCAATTTGCTTTAAAAAGCCTCTAGATTGAAAATATGACCTTGAAAGTTTGTGCAAATGCCTCGTTTTCTTAATTTCATTATGAAACTGGCCCTTAGTCCATAAAAATGCAATCAGCATACAGTTAACATTTATGTATATACCTCTGCCCAAAACTATTTTTTCTTCGAGGGATCTAGTCTTCTTTTTTAAAGTGGACTCGTCCGTGACGGTTTTACCATGGTCGTCAGTCATGTAGAAAAAAATCGATCTGTTGAATCGATTCGTATCGAAACTTAAAGAATCGATCCTATGAAAAATCGTCTATAAAAAAAACGATTTTCGCAAAATCGATTAAAAAAAAGTAATTACTAATACATAAACAATAATCTTTTATTTAAATATGTATTGCAATTCGTGAACATTCATTAAAATTACAATTAAATACAATGCTGCTTCCCAATCAGACAATTGAAGGAAATTTAAAAAAGCAAACGCCCTAGCCTACTGGCTGAGAGGCGGTGAAGGGTCCATAATGTTTCCCGCTCTAGAAAACATTCGTTCTGACGAGGCTGACGTTGCTACAATTGACAGGTATCGAAGGGCGATTTTAGATAAACTAGGGTAAATTGTTTTTTAATTTTCCCAAAACTGTATCGGGTCAAATTTATGTTGCAAACTAACTAGATTTTATTGCAAATAATGATTTAACTCTGAATTCTTAAAGTTGTCTGAGTCGTTTTGTTTCTGCTTGTTTAAAAGATGTTCATGGAAAGTCCAAATCGACCCTTTGACTTGATCTTGCTTTTCAAGAGCTCTTGTCGTCTCATTTTGATTTATTTGTCTTGATGTTTGATCATCTATCATTCTGTGTATTTTTCTTAAAGCTTCAGAGACTGCTTGCTAATGGATTTTGAAAGTACAAATCTAAAAAAAAAGTTTTTTTTTAGAAATAATTTTTTGTGTATTTCATACCTCGGATATAAGAGAGCAGAAATTGCCAGGTTGGAAACAACTTCAACTTTTCCGAAGGGTTTTTCAAGGTCTGCTAATACCGCTTTCTTAAGCAAGCCTCTTTTTTGCCTTTTCGGCTAATGGCTACATCTTTGTAATATTTTCGTAACGTGGGTCTAAAAATGTACAAGTAGAAAGTGTATTGCTACTTTAAGGCAGAAAATAGTTTCCAGACATTTAATCCTATCTTCTCCTATAATATGCTCACATTGTTTAATAAAATTCATCCACAATTCTTTCGTACATAAAAACAGAGCTTCAAGCTACACATTTATATGCTTGTTTCTTTTAAAAACTCCATGCCAATTCAATTGGGTTATAATGACAGTGGTATGGAGGTAATCTAAGAACTTCATGTCTGTTTTTTTTTTAACAATTCATCCACTTCAAACTTGATGTAATCTGGATCGACTGAAAATGGTTTGATTAATAGGTAATTGTTCCTTTATAAAATTTCTAACCTTGCCTGGGACACCCAGTATATTTCCTGTTCTATTTTATGCTGCGTTTTCTAGTGATAATTATGGTATTTTGTAACGCATACCAATATGCGGAACCAATAATTGTTTTAGTTGGTTTTTCAAAATACTTTTTCTATCACAAAATTTCCAAAAAAATACTTTTTGAAGTCTAATTACATGTTGCACGGTCCGCACTGTATCCACGCACTGATTCGTGTTTAGGAGTTTGCGGAACGTCTTGAGACACCTCTTCAGTGTTTTTAGTTGTTGCAATTTTATGAGAAATTCGTTCTCTATGATATCTCTTTTATCGGGAACTGAAAAATAAATGTATCTTTTCTAATGAGGTATTTGTAACGACTTTTTAATTATCACTAATTAAAATCCGATGACGTAAATGATATAAATCTGTTTTTAGATTTTTAGATACGTAACTCACAGAACTTCAGGGTTTATTACTGTTATACTATTAACGATTAAAGGCGGGTTTGATAAAATTTCGTAAAGGTCTTTGGGCTGAAATACAATATTTGTTTTCTGAAGATTTGGTCTTTGTCCGAACTTTCCCCAAAAAGAATTCAACATTATCTTAGCTAAAAAGCGTAAGCCCAGGTTTTTACAAATTTTATCTTTGTTCAAATTGATACCTTCTTTTTCCCTATACTCAGCAATATATTTTTCTTTGTCATCATTGGTCTTGCACCAAGAAGGCCAACCACTACATTCTTGCTTTATTTTCAGAAATGTATTTACATAATCTGAAAATAAACCACCGCACTTAGTTTCTCGATCGTATTTAGTTGTTTTGTAAACTTTAAACTCAAGAACCGTATAACCGAGTTCTAGAGCTTTTCGAAGTATCTCACATAATTTATGCGCGTCCAGTTTGGGTTTTTGAATTATCAATATATTTTGTGCTTTCGTTTACAAATTATGGACTCATTATTTACAACCTTGCTTGCACAGTCTTAACAAAATCGTCTACAAAAATATCAAAACAATTGCTGCCGTTTTATTTTTGGTTTTAAAAAACACGATCGTACATCAGAAAAAAATAAAAACTTGGAATGTACCATTTATTATTTTCAGTTAATTGAGTTAAAAGTAAATTATTTGTTATTTCTTTTAATTTTTTTAAGCCATTGATCCTAATGTATAGTAAAATTGTTTTTGAAATAAACCAATGTTTCAGTATATAGATTTTATTGTACACTATAACACATTTCATTTCGTTCTGGATCAAGCTCGACATTCCACTGGTCATGATTTAGCAAACAAAAATTATGCAAAACACAACATGCCGTTACAATTTTCACCACTTTTGCAATTGTGTTCGCATTTACAAATTTACAAATGCGGAAACGTTCTTTTAATAACCCAAAACTATGTTCCATGCAAACACGTGCAACACTCAGGCGACGATTGTGTTGTCTCTGGTTCCGCGTGAGTCTTCCTGTATTTCTACAAAACCATTCTTATTGATTACATTCAGTTATCATCACATGATTACTTACCTATATGGAGTCATCAGCCACATTTTACAAGGGTACGCCGAATCACCAACTAGGTGATAATTTTCATTATAAAATAAATTAGCAGTTCTGTTATACATGGTTTGACCAAGATCTGATTCCTTTAAAATCTGTAAAAAACATATATGTACAGAGAACAAACATAATTGGGTCAACTTACTCGAGCATCATGTAGAGATCCTAGATATCCCACAGAAATGTTTGTAAACAATCTTGTGCTGGTGGCAACAGCTTGCACAATGATACTGTGGTTGAATTTGCGGTCTTGATAACTGCTATGTTGGGTCGTTGGTACTTTACATTCAATATGCGTACCATCAACTGTTCCAATAACGTCTACAAGTAGTAATAAGTAAGACATTAAACAAACTCATAAGCTTTTAAGTTACTTGGATATCTTACCTTCGCAAAAAATTGTTCAGATATAACTGCACATTCAGCTTCTGTGGGCCATGTTATATACCGGGGTAACAGCGTGTTAATTAAATTTAGCATTAGAGTGCAGCTATTCTACACACATGAGAGCGACACATTAACATGGTCACTCATTGAAATAAATGTGTCCCCTTTTGCCAAATACCACAAACAGATTAATAGCTGTTTGTGGATAGAGACTGGGGTACGCCTTCGCATATATGCTGTTTGATCCGACAACATCTTCACAATTTCGGCTAACAGTTTCGTCTGCGTGGTTCGTGTCATACGAAAATGTGCAAAGAAATCTGAATCCAAATATCGTTGAAACCAGATTTCATTAAACCCGGACATTCTTGGGTGCTCCTCTCGAAACGCCAGTACTGGCGTTACTCACTCGTTCACTTCTTGCAGAAACGTCATACTGCTGATGTGCATTTGGAGGAAAATGCAATTTCCTCAACACCACTCATTAACACTAGCTTTTTGCGTGGAGATAACTTATCCATTATAAGTGTTATCGACCACGTTGTTAAACCTTGAGTGAACTTGTCACTAACATAGCCACAGTGACTTTTTGTTTAACTAACTTAATGTCATTTTGACATGTCGAGAGTTTAGTGAATATATTATAGTAACTACAAATAGACAATCCCTCTAGGTATCTTATTTTCTCACTCGGTCTACACTTGTAATATAATTTGCACGCATTTGTTCTACCTCCAGAAAAACTACCACGAGGATTAAGTGGTATGTCTTCAACAACATTGCGGGTATCAACAAAATGTTTCAATTCAACATTCATAGAAATTTGCCGTTTAAAGTCACACTCCCAAATAGTTACTAAATTATACCCAGCAGAACGAATGCGTGTTTCTTTAAAAAATGTGCTTTCGCGGCGATTGGCCATAGTTTCAGTGTCGTTATTTTCTTCTTTATTACTGATTCCATCAAGACGTACTTTTTGGTTGTATTACTAACTATGCAAAATCCATCTACAAGAATATTTTCATTTAATTTGATTTCGCGTCCCTTTCCAGCATGGTTTATTGCTATATTGTTTTCACGAGCTTTGCAGTCTAACCAATCAATTGCTATTTTAGATTGCTTATCACTTTTTCTATATCCGCCACTCAGCATGATACCTATAGTTTCAGATTTTAAGAAATTCCTACGAAAAACTAAATTACATGCCGAGGCTATAGTGATCGATTCGAGTAATGGATTGTCTCGACAAAACACTCTAAATTTAATACATGCCCGACGTAACATATCTACATCTGATTTACAATATTTAACTATTTCAACCGACATATTAAAGATATATTCACTTTCAGTTTGCTCGTTCTACCATTTTAAAAACTCTACGCTTATACTCTGTTTCATAGTATCATATCCAAAATCATATACTAAAATAGTCTAAAGAAGGAAGTGGTCCTATGTAATTTTTATTTGCGGCTGTATTAAGGAAATGTGGGAAATACACTTTTTCTCCCTCAAATTTAAATGCCTTTGGTAGCTGTGCTAATGGCATTTGCAAAAAGTTAAGAATCACCACATGTAATTGACATTACTTTGCATCCCGTACGGATAACTTCAGGATTCCAACGATTTATGTCCTTAAAAAGACTCTGCAAGATAAAACATCCGTCAAATCCCTTCATATTATAGCTTATTGCCGTTACCGAAAATTTATTAATTTTTTTCGTTAATGTACATGTAACAATGTAGTTTAGTAAGTTGTTAACAGGGTCTTGGGTAAAAACATGTTCACGAACACCATAATTAGAATATTCGATAGATACGTCATCATTGGTAATGCATTTCGAACAAGCTTGTTGAGCGACACATAAATTTGGTTCATGTAAAAATGAATTTTCGGAAATTATTTTATCTTGCGTTGTCTCAAAGTCATAAAAAATAAAGAAAAAATTTGTTTTATCTTTTTTTTTTGTTGGTTTGTCTTCTTTAATTTTACTTGGTTGCATATAACAAAAGTGTTGTTTTGGTTTTACTGCTTTACATATATTACAGTATTTAACGCCACATACATGCTCTGTTTTATTTTTCTTATTCAACCAAATGTTATCGAAGCAAATAGGACAGCGTTTTAATTTTTCACACAACTTAGTATGATTATTAAAACAATTTTCATCCATAAAAGAGCGATTGCAGTTTGCACAACTAATTTCGTTTTGTTGTGTTTTACAAGGGGGTTTTTCATGGCAGAGTGAGCATATGTACGGGCAATTTCTGTGACGGTTTGAATTACTAAATTTTGCTCTACAGAACTCACAGAAATAGGTCGCAGCAAATGCACCTGTTAAGCTCAATATAACATTAAAATGATTATTTTCAAATATTAAGTTTAAACACTGTCTGCTAGAGTCACAGGGTCCCTCGAAGTATAATTGTTTTCCATCACGACTTGAATACACAGTGATAGTGTATTTATTTAAATATTCTTGAAATAATTTTATTTCATCAAAACCACCACCAGCTTCAGTTAAATCTACACCTGCATTATTGATAATTAAAAAGTCATTACAAATATGTCATTAGAAATGTGAAAGTGGTAATTAAAAAGTCATTAAAATCGGTCGAAAGTCACATTTTAACTACTAATCAGGCTTCTTTCATACCTAACTAGGGGTCAATCCATTTTAAATATTATATTTAAATGTTCAAAATTACTACCTCTAGTTTTTGCGTGACGACAATGCATATTTTATTGATCGCATAGTGGGCTTTAAAATCACGGTATGTGTTCTATTAATACCCCCCTATCAAAAAAATATGAATGATATGCACGAAGACACATAAAACAATAAATAAGACACTAAGAGAGGGTTTAAGTGAAATTAATAAAAGTTTATTGTTAATAGCTGAAAAATAAATATACATCAATTAGTAAAATATTGCTGAACAACATTTTGCCTTATTATCCTTTCTTCATTTAAAAGGTCATTGTACTGTCCAGGATTACCAAGGCGTATCAGTTCTTCATTAGGTTCAATATCAGGAAATTCCATATTGTGGTCGATGCACAAATTGTGAAGAACCGCGCAACTATTAACAAGAGCTCCAACAAATTGAGGATCATACCTGGCCTTTTATAGTTCTTCTAGAAATAAGTGAGAACAGAGTCAATTGCTTTATTGCACCCTAACAGCTGGGTATCAATTCCTAGCCATAAACTGTTTAAAACCCGCTGCAGCAGGTCAAAATGTTGCGACTTCTTGCAAGCAGAGGCAGACTTAAGGCTTAACTTATCGTTTGCCAAGATAGGGAATTTCAATGCATTTTTCGAAAAGGTTTTTCTCGGCTATTATAAGGAATTTTTTGGTTTTTATTTTTTTGATGAAACCATTTTAGATATTTCTAGGGATATTGTTATGTAGCTAATTTAAATTCCTATTTTTTATATATTTTTTAACTTATTTTTTATAATAAAATTAGAGTATTTATATGGAAACTAACAATGTCCTTCCTACATGTACCAAAGACCTTAAGAAAAAAAAATGAAATCATTCGGATAATTAATAACTGTAAAATCTCTTGTGGAAAATATTATTAACTTTCGTAGTGTGAAAATCGTCTTGTCTCTCTCAACATTAGTTCTTTTTCACAACAAACTGAGCTTACCGTAAGCAGACCCCCATCACCGGTTTTATCTGATTTATGACCTTACGAGGGATGTTTCGCATCTATAAGGAAACAACTAAAAGTACAAGCTGTAAAATTAGGTCATTTTAAGAATTGATGTAAAAGATGAATAAATTTAATAAGATGATGTATTTACACCAGGTAATTCTATTTTTCACCAAAAATTAAGTCTAATTATTATACAGAATTGTTAGGAATAACTTGAAGCCTTTTTTTCCTACTGGATACCTGCTATGGGTTTTTAATCCGTTAGGGGTAGCTACTGATATGATGTAGTTTACAAAAGTAGTACTTATTGTCTTCATAACAAAATACTGTTTATTGCTTGAAGGTATGTAGGTAGACAAGAGGCTTATTTTCCTATTTGTTGTTTCTAAATAAATTAAAATTTGAAGTACCATATACGGGAGAATGCTACTCTGATTTCATATAATTCTAAAGGTAAATATTTACATTGTTTGAAAAAGGCTGTAAATCAAAAAAGTCCGGGATATTATACTACTAAATATGTAAATGCACAACAAAAAATAAAAACAAATAATTTAAAACGAAAATTAAATAAAAATAATGACAACAATCTAGTAAACAGAAGAAAAATTACTGAAGAAGCGGATGGTGATTAACTGATTATGGTTGTGTTGTGCAAAGATGTTTTAAAAGTAATTAAAAAAACTCCTGAAGAAATTCAGATAATTTTTAATCAAACAATTTTATTACAATCACTATTTACCAGCTTATGCTGAAATGTGTTTAAAAAATGGTTGCTCTATGTAAAGTACAGCCGCTTGTAACTTGTAACGTTAGTGTTTTTTACTCCATTTGTTACTGTGATAAGTGCTAAATAAATAAAATAAATAATTCAGCCCTACAGGGTTCCTGCTTTCCGGTCGCTAAATCGGAGAGTACCTTGCTTCCCGGACGCTAAATCGGAGAGTGCCCTGCTTTCCGATCACTAGATTGGAGAGTACAAGTCATAAATCGACAGTAATAAATGATAATAAGTAATTTTCAAAAAATTAGTACTTTAATACTAAGTATTTAACACTAAGTATTTTTTGTCTCTCAAAATGTTTTTATTTTTTTAACTTTTTGTAATACACATAATTCCTAAGCACAAACCGTCCTCGGTGAAATTAATATAAATATTAAGTTTTTTTTTTAGGATTACGTATTGGGCTTAGTGCCTTTATATTAAACCTATGAATTTTTTGATTTATTTTTAAATAGATGAATAATTAGAAGTTTTGAAATGAACTAACAATTCTCTTCTTGAGGGGTGCAGATGCATATCTTTGCTTTGAACAAACGCAATAAAACGATCATGTTTGTGAGTTACACCCTGCGATCCAGCCCTGTTCTATAATTTATTACTTTATTACCAGTAGGTACCCGGGTCGTATCTATCGGCCTTTCAAATTTGCTGTCGTTGATGGAGATATGAACACCGATGAGTGCAAAAGTGATAGCCGACTGACGCATAGAAAATCGGTTAAAAATGACGAATTGCAATGTTGTATGACACAAAAAAATTAAACATACAACTGCAGTTCAGGATTTACCGTTATCTTCTACGATGAAGAGCCTTAAGCAGGTATTACATTATGCGAGCTCTCGTACGAGTTCACAATTCGAGAACTCGAAAATGTTACTCGTGGCTGTGACTTTGTAAAACAAATATGATTTGCTTTACATTGTGCAAAGTGATCGAATTGCGCGCGCACTTCGCAGTCTGTCACTTGTCAGTGTCACTTATGTCTGTAGTTGTGTCAAAACTGTTAAAACCGTTAAAACCGACAATAATAATAATAATAATTAAATAATACATAATGGATTGTTATAATTTACTAATGTTGGCTAAAGTTTCGGTACAGTTAACGCTTCTGTTACTGTTACGTATTCAAAAACACAAGCATTTGAATGCAAAAAAGCCCCGTAATAGTTATGGACCAGAAAGTGGCTTCTAAGACGAAATGAGGGGCTGGGCATTTCAAGTTTGGTGTTCAACGAATTGAGATATGAAGATCCATCAAGTTTTAAAAACTTTACAAGAATGACAGCTGTCACGTTTTTTGATCTTTTAGCTAAAGTGAGAAACCAGATTCAAAAGTAAGATACTACTTTTCGGGAATGTATTTCGCCAAAAATAAGATTATTGGTAACGTTACGATATCTAGCAACAGGTGAGACTATGCAAAGTCTCAGTTATACGTTCAGAATTTCTGAACCATCTTTAAGCATTTTAATTCCTGAAACGTTAGATGCTGTATATGGTGCATTAAAGAAAAAATATCTAAAGACACTCAGCAGAAAAGAAGAGTGGAAGGCGATAGGGGACAAATTCTATAAGTTGTGGAACTTTCCTAGTTGCTTGGGTGCTTTAGATGGAAAGCACATTGCCTTTCGTGCCAAAAGGAAAGATGGTTCCTTTTATTTTAATTACAAAGGTTTTCACAGCATAATCCTGTTAGCTCTAGTTGACGCTGAGTATAATTTTATATATGTGGACGTAGGCTGCAACGGACGAGTTAATGACAGTGGGGTTTATAATAATTCAGAGTTGAGTAAAGCAATCGATGAAAATTTACTGGATTTTCCAGAGGATGCCAACTTGCCGAAAAGTGGTCTTAAAGTTCCATATGTAATAGTTGGAGATGATGCGTTCAGGTTATCAAGAAGGATTATGAAGCCTTTTGGACAAAGGTCGAATGATGCAGAAAAAATTTTTAATTATAGATTAAGCCGCAGTAGAAGAGTTGTCGAAAATGCGTTTGGCATTCTAGCAAACCGTTTCCAAATATTACAACGCGATATTAATTTAAAGTTCAAAAAGTAACCTTAACCTGTTGTGCACTACACAATTATATTAAAGAAAAAGATGGCCAGAGATACATGGGCACAGTTGATGTTGAAAATACAGATTCAGCTACTTTAACACCAGGAGCGTGGAGACAACATGTGTGTGTAACAGATTTACAAAGAAGCAAGGTTAATAGGTCATCGGTGGAACCTCTTGAAATACGAAAAAAGTTTTTGGAGTATTTTAATGACATAGGAGCAGTTCCCTGGCAGAGAGACGCAATAAAAAAATTTAATTTTTAAAACAGTTTTATTCAGAAATTACAAACATGTATTTAATTCTAGTTGCCTTATTACAATTGTAATTCAATAAATTCTACTTGTGACACTTTTGTTTTTTGTTTATTAATAAACTGCTTTTTATATTTGTATAAAATATTATTTATTTCATGCTTACCATCGGTAAGTAATTCGAAGTCATCTATTGTATTTAACTCCGCACAAAGTGACTTACAATATGCTTCTATATCACTTTTTATGGATGGGTTTTTTTTGGTTATCTAATAAATTTGCATTTAAAATTTTCAACCTGGATTATTTCATCATCTTCGAGCTGTGCTTTTTTTAGCTTTTTCGAGGCTGTTGGCGTTGTGGAGCTTTCATCAGATTCATCTTTGCCTCGTTTTTTGTTAGTAAAACTTGAAGTTGATAGTGTGTCAGAATGTATAATTTCTTCAGGTTCATTCAAATTTGAACTGTCATCTTCCATGCCTTCATCCGGCTGCAATAATTGAAATTATTTAATTAAATTAATCGTCTTTTTTCTAAGTTTTAAAAATACATACGCTTTGGGATAAACTGCTTTCAGATTTTCTGGACCGTAAATATGGGAGTAAATATTGTAATTCCTTAAACCACCAAATTGTAGGTTCATAGACATCATCAGTCTCTATTCCGCTATGTTTACTCTTTGTTATTTTTCTAATCTCTGCCGTTAATTGACTTCTTAAATTTGTTATTTTTCGTTTAATTTCTTCATTTTCTATGACAACGTCAGGATTATCTTCCATTAATTTGGTTTTTATTTCCAGTAAGGCCTGCATCCTGGCGTGGTGGTTTGCATAAAATTTATGTTTGCAGTCATAAAGGCAAGGATAACCTTCCATTACACGTATTAATTTTTTAGTTAATTGTTTGTTCCATTCAAACTAAAAAAGAATAAAAATGTAATCAGATTATAAATTTGTATAAGTTATGTAACTTACCTTATTATTGGCGCTCATTTTTAATAGTTTTCGCTATTTTGTTAAATAAAACCACGAAATCACTTCGGTGCCAAACACAACAAAACAAAACAAAACAAGACAGCAACCAAACAGCAATCAGCGATCAGCTCAGCTCCTTAGTGCGCACGCGCAGTGCAAAATCGCATCAGAACTCGTATGAAAAATAGATACAGTTCTAATTGCAAAGTTCTCGTAAGAGTTCTCAAAACCGATAGGTAAAGGGAGAAATCTTTCTATGTAAATATTTTCATACCGTCTCGCGAAAGAACTCGTACGACTCCTCGTACGAGAGCTCGCATAATGTAATACCTGCTTTTTAGGAAATTGTTCAAGACGAAAAAACTGTTATTTCTAAAAAAAAATACGCTACAACCAATAAAAAAAACATTTTTATTAAAAGCTGTACAGAAAAATGATGATAAAATTATGATAATATTTTAAATGTTATCTTCCTCATCGCTACTGTTATTTAACGATATAATTAATTCTTTTGCTTGTTTTTTCCGATGTTCTTTTTCTATGGAGATTACTTTCTTGTCACAATTGAACCACTAGCTTTGTGTGATAAACTCCACCTGAGTTCGAACAACGTCAATGGCACCCGCACTAAACTTGGGATTACTATTGTTCTTGATTTTAGAATGCCCCATATCATTTCGATCGGATTAAATTCGCAATGATAAGGAGGTAACCTCAGAACACGATGACCATATTTTATCGCCTCTTCATCAATGACAAATGAAATTTTTTATCAAATACCTTTGTGTGTAACACTTCTAAAAGTTCTTTTTTCGTGTAACTTTCTTCAAAATACAGATCATTTTCCGTAAGAAATCCCATTATTTCTTCCTTCCGGAAATTTGAGTTGGGAATTTTGGTCGCTTGAACAGAATGATAACTTCCGTTATCTATATATATATATATATATAAAGAGGCTTGTCCTGACTGACCTATCAACCCACAGCCTAAACCGCTGGAGACAGAAATTTCAAATTTTCACAGTAGGTACCTTTTATAACGTAGGCATCCAATAAGAAAGGATTTTTGGAAAATCAACCCCTAAGGGGGTTAAATGGGGTGGTGAATTCGAAGTTTTAAAGCTATAGTCATGAAAATTGGTATTCAAGCTTTTGGTTAAAAATAAAAAAATACGTATTTTACCATTTTTGGAAATTTCACCCCCAAGGGGGTTGAACAAGGGTAAAAGGTCGTAAAATATTTGTATTTTTTTTAAAGTTAAATTCATGAAAATTGGTATTTAGGCTCTCAGTTAAAAACAAAAAACACGTGTTTTAGGATTTTGAAAATTTTCATCCCCAAAGGGGTCAAACAAGGGATGAAAATTTGTAAAATATGTATAGATTCGTAATTTTTGAAGTTATATTTCTAAAAATTGGGATTTGGGCTTTCGGTTAAAAATGAAGAAACACGTGTTTTAGGATTTTTGAAAATTCCACCCTCTAGGGGGTTAAACAGGGATGACAATTTGTATTAAAATATGTCATTTATAAAGTTAAATCCTTGAAAATTTGTATTTAGGCTTTCGATTAAAAATCAAGTAATACGTGTTTCAGTATTTTCAGAAATTTCACCCTCAAGGGGGTTGAACAAGGCTAAAACTTCGAAAAATATTCGTGTTTTTTTTTTTTCAAGTTAAATCTATGAAAATTGGTATTTGGGTGTTCAGTTAAAAACAAAATAGCACGTGTTTCAAGATTTTGGAGAATTCTATCCCTAAGGGGTCAAACAAGGGATGAAAATTTGTATAAATATTTATAAATTCGTCATTTTTGAAGTTATAGTTATGGAAATTGGGATTTGGCCTTTCGGTTAAAAATTAAGAAACACATGTTTTAGGATTTTTGAAAATTCTACCCTCTAGGGGGTTAAACAGGGATGACAATTTGTATTAAAATATGTCATTTATAAAGTTAAATCCTTTAAAATTTGTATTTAGGCTTTCGATTAAAAATCAAGTAATACGTGTTTTAGGATTTTTGGAAATTTCACCCTCAAGGGGGTTGAGCAAGGGTAAAACTTCGTAAAATATCCGTTTTTTTTTTAAGTTAAATCTATGAAAATTGGTATTTGGGTGTTCAGCACGTGTTTCAAGATTTTGGAGAATTCTATCCCTAAGGAGGTCAAATAAGGAATGAAAGTTTGTATAAACATGTATTATAGTTAAACATGGAATGAAAATTTGTATCAAAATTTGTCATTGTTAAGTAATATCTATGAAATAAGACTTAAAATTTTACGGTTTTTAAATAAGTTATAAAAGACGGACTTTTTAGTTTTACTACGAAGTTCATAATAAATTATGTGTTCCTATATTTTGTTTCTTAGCCCTTCTGCGTTTTGAAATAGTTGTGGATGTCAAACTACCACGCGAGCGAAGCCGCGGGCAACAGCTAGTCTAATACAATTACACAGTTCCTTGGAAGATTCGGCAATAATTTTGTGAAAAACCAATTGAAAAATACTTCGCCTGTCATTTCATTATGATAATTGACCTTTGCGTCCTTGAGGTTTTTCCCGGAAAGGTCTAGTGCTTTTGGAACCCAACCTTGCTTTAATCCAGCATGTAAAATTATTATTCGTTGACCTCTTGAAGGTGGCACATTCATTGTGCAACGCCCACTTTGATCTACAAATCCTATAATCCAAAAAAATTATGCTTCTGTTATCTTCTCTAATTTGCTTTATTTCGTTTAAGTATTTATAACGCCACTCGCTGATAATTTTTGATTCGTTCAATACTTGCCTTCTGTCTTAGGTTTTATGATCAAAACCTATTCACTCTCATGGTTTCAAGACAACAATGCAGTCCAGTCCAATAATTTCAACGATTTTCTCCTGAATGTATTTCAATGTAGGCACATAGTTATTTTTATAGCTATCGTAGATAATGTTTCTTACTATACAGGGTGTCAATTTTAAAACTTGCAATCGGCAATATCTCTAGAACTAAAAAAGTTATTGAGAATCTCTCAAAACCGTTTTGGTGGTTTTTAGGGGGAATCAAAATGGCATGGTAAGTGACGCTTCTCCACCCACCCTTCAAGCCACAGCCACCTTAAGTTGAAAATTTTAAATGGCACGACCCTACTTGCGATACATCGTTGGAAAGCCCACAACAAGCGCTTTTCAAAAATGTCATACAACAGCCTATTTGGTAAAGTCATTTTTCCAATTATTCAAAAACGAAGACGTTAAATTTTATTTTTTTTTATTATATTCAAGGGTGGGTGGAGGTGTGTCACTTATCATGTCATTTTAATTCCCCTTAGGAACCACCAAAACGGTTTTGAGTGATTATTAATAACTCTTTCAGTTGAGAGAAATTGCCGATTGCAAGTTTTGAAATTGACACAGTGTATACGCATGTTCTTCGGGTTTCAACTTTCTAGTTAAACCTTTGTCTTCCTCGTTGTTATACCAAGTTTAATAATTCGCCAGACAGATGAGTATGGCATTTTTATGTACTCTTCCGTCGTTTGACCGAAAATCAAATTAAAGTAAATAGGCAGGTTACAATTACTAATCTTCAAACCCAAATATTATTACTTGGAAACAGGGATGATTTAAGCAAATTGGCTCTCCACAGCATGCAAGTTGATAATGATAATATCTACATTAGCCACCCGCAAAGGGTCACTAACCCGTAAGTCTGCTACCTGAATCACAATCAACAAAATATGTATCATGGCGAAAAATTTGTTTGCGCCAACTTATCAACCGTAGCGTTTAAAATCAGCTATTGAATAGCTTAGTTTTCATACATAAAGCTTTGCATAAAGTGAATACGGCCCTGGAAACCAGCCCAGCTGGCTAAGTTCGGAGATATTTTTATTGCGGGTTAAAGCCGCCGGTAGCCGTCTTCTAGAAGAACTATAACAGGCAACTAAATCGTGTTTTAAATAACCCTATACATCTTTCAATACTATTTCTAGCTGCAATATGGGCCTGATAAATGCGACTCCGGTCTTCCATCAACAGGCTGATAAAAAGGAGTCATTAAAATTGGCTGCAAAGGATAGCCTGAATCGCCAATTAGCCATGTTCTTCGCAAGCCTTCATTATACTTTTGTAGCAAAAACTGTTGTATAACTGACTTGACTGTCGCCAAATAAATGCATCATGACTAGAGTCTGAGAAGTTTGCATTTATATTTAAAATTCTTAATTCATCATCGCAAATAATTTGGACGTTTATGGAATGATAACCCTTGCGATTTATAAAGTTATGTCCTTCCACACAACCAATCACTATAGGCATGTTACATTTTTTTCATGAATCGAATTTGAAATTTAATTTATCAAATTAATGTAAAATTAATACTTAAGATTCTTAGTTAAGACACTAAGAGAGGGTTTAAGTGGAGTTAATAAAAGTTTATTGTTAATAGCTGAAAAATTTAAATAAATTACATCGATTTGTAAAATATTGCTGAACAACATACCACCAGCAGTGAAAAATTATTACGGTCGACCGCAAAGCTGCTTAACCCTCAAGAAAGCTTGCATACGTCAATCCCAAATATTTCTGGTTTGGACTATGCCTAATCCTTGTAATTATCCTACTCATTTTTCTCAGAAAACCTTTCTTTTGGTATCTCAGACTACACTTTATTTCTATTTAGTTAGTTACAAAATTGCCATATTTTCCCAATTTATTATTTGCTAGCTCGCTTTTGTTTAAAATGATTTTTTTCAGGGAGAAGCAGCTAAGTTTCGGATTAAATTTGAATAGCATCATAATTTGTTCCTTTATTCCCTTTAGTCATTTACATTTTAAATGGCTTTCAGGTAGTTCTATGATGAAACTCTTTGTATAAGTTGTGAATAATATATAAAACAACAATTTTATTTGCAACAATGTTTAATAAATACAACTACTATCTCTATATCGGTGTTTCCAAAAATAAAAATCAACATATTTTTGACGTCTTCCCAGCTTAGGGTTGCCAACTAGTCCGGTTTTCGCCGCCCATGCCGGTTTTTTGAGAAGGTTGCCGGCTGTCGGTTTT